CCCTGAGTCAATCGACAACAGAATGTCATTTAATGCTCTTAGTAAGGCAGACTCAGTGCTATGATTTTTCCTAAAACCAGACTGAAATGTCTCAAAAATATTGTTTGTGTCCAAACAATTTTGTAGTTGTAGAAGTGCTGATTTCTCTAAAATGTTTGCTATAAAAGGTAAATTAGGAATAGGTCTGAATAGTTACTAAATCAGACTGAACAATCTGAAACAGTTGCTTGTTTTTGCCAAGTCATTCAGCGCTCCAGTTCCTCCAACAGTCGCTGAACTGAGGAAGTTGATAAAAAGTAGATCATTCCCTTTGTGTTTCAGACATGTAAAACATCCACATTTCATATCATTATTGGGTGCTTTCATGATATAGTTGCATATATGTTGTGTTATTGCGTGAAAACATAAACGAGCTGGGCAGAATGAAAATGCAAAATCACTCTCAGACATGAAATTGGGTGGCAATTATGGAAGTCAAGACGCAGTAAAACTTTTTGTTCCTGACACACGCATTTTACGGAGAAGAAAGGAAGTCAAATTGTATTTAAATGTTTTCAAAACGCTGTTATAATTTTTGTCTGTGCTATGGTGTTTGTTAAACAACACCAAATATACGAGTACAGACTCGAGAGCAAATACTGCCTCTGGATTCTTCCCCCAGTTTCTTAGCAAAATATGTAGCCAAATGTATAAAATATATAGATTCTCGTAATCGCAGCAGTCTGGATATGTGACCAAAAGTGTTAAGGCCTGTTCACATCAAGGAAGATAACGATAAAGATATAGTTCTAAAAATCGTTCTCAATATTAAAGAATAGCAGAGTCCACACCGCAGCTGTAACGATAAAGGCACAAAGAAAACGATATTGTTGGAATCACTTTCAGAACGATTTTTTCCAGCTGATGAACGATAAAAACATTGACAGCCAATCAGAATCAATCCTGCTTATAACGAGCTTCAGAATTTAAAGCGGCAGACAAGCGTGCGCTTAGAATAAACAGACGATATCGTTCGCTGGTTTGTACGCTGATATAGTTATCTTTATAGTTATCGTTCTTGGTGTGAACGGGCCTTATTGGCTGACCAGTTCTCTTCGCAGTGTGATGGAAAAAAGATTAGAACACCTCTCTGTTAAGCAAAAATTTGTGATAACTGCATGCAAATTTTTGTGTTGGCCTGAATAGATCCATAAACAGCTGTTCATTCAAATTAAAATGTTAATTTCATCAAATTTTTGCTCCAGTTCTGGGTTGGTCTGTGGATGAATGGACCAAAACTCAAAACTGACTGCTCTCCACCCTGTGCCTGTCTAACACTAGGCATGTTAATGGCTCAAGTTTTTTTGATGTCCTTTCTGGATATTCTCCAAGTACCCTTGCTGCAGGTCAAATATATTAAAGGGTTTCATGAAAAAGACAGCAGTGTTTAGTACTCCTTCCCATCAGTCATTCAGCAGAAGTATATGTTTTCAAGTGTTTATTATGCGTTTCAAACACAGAAGTAGTGGTCAACCAATATATTGGCAGGGCTTATATTACCAGATGATATTTGGCAATTTTTTTAATTGTCTGCATTGGCCAACAAGTATTTCTGTTTGAGACGGACAACTTGGGTTTAAAGTAACATTAGATAATTGTCTTGGGGGCAGTCGTGGCCTAATGGTTAGAGAGTCGGACTTGTAACCCGAAGGTCGCGGGTTCAAAGTCTCCGTACCGGCAGGGGTTGTAGGTGGGGGGAGCGAATGACCAGTGCTCGCTTCCTCCCTCAATACCACGACTGAGGTGAGACCCTTGAGCAAGGCACTGGACCGCCAACTGTTCCCTGGGTGCCACAGCAATATGGCTGCCCACTGCTCCGGGTGTGTGTTCACTGTGTGTGTGTGTTCACTACTCACTGCTGTGTGAGTGCACTTCATTTTATTCATTAGTTTGATTTCAAATTTAAACATTGTCACTGAAAATGCTTTTTCAGCATTGCAATTCTGTTTTATACAGTACAGTAATACAATCTTTCACAGACATGTTTAAACACAATAAATATAAGCAACACATTATTCAATGCTTTTTACTTTTGCATTTGATTTATATATTAAGTTGCTCAAGCAAGTGGCAAAACATTTAAACTACTTTTCTTACGTTATCACAAACTTACCATTGACAGAAATAGTCAGCTCTACTGCCTTTTCTTTTGCATTAAAATCTTTATTACAAGCAATCCTGCGGTTCATAATTTGTTTTTCTACCTCCACGAGTGCCATTTATTATTGCCTTGTTTAACTAAAAGTGCTCTTTTCCTTTAAACCTAGCCAAAAAGCCATGTGTGTTGACTGTGAAACACAGTAGACTTTAATAATATGCGTTTGTGTAATTACTAAAGAACTTTGTTTTCCTACCTCCACGAGTGCCGTCTATTATTGCCTTGTTTATCTAAAAGTGCTCTTTCCCTTTAAACCTAGCCAAAAAGCCATATGTGTTGACTGTGAAAAACAGTAGACTTTAATAATATGCATTTATGGTGCAATTACTAAATTTTCGTGTCAATCCATGTTCATATTTGCTGCAAACAATGCGCTGTTACTTTAATTCAGCGCTTGCAGCGCAACAACAAACTCGGTACGGAAACCATCTCTGCACTGCTGCTGACGCACCGCTCCTGAACGCACTGCCGGACCGCAACCGTGTGTGCAGTGTGCACGCTTTAATCCATCATTATATCATATAATCACCTTCAGCATTATAATGATTTCACCCGTGCTGGACAGAGACCGAGACGGTGCTGCTGCATGTCGTGCCAAACCTCTCACAGCAGCAGTGTCATCAGCTTGAGATCGGCCTTTTTTAGAGACCGCCGATCAAACATCCAATGTTTGATCCGGCCGATAGTGATGCAACCTTGTGCAGTGTGTGTACCCCCTCCCTCCCGGGTCCTCCCCGCCACACCTCGTTCTTGTTCCGAGTGGGTCTCGAACCTGGGTCTCCGGCATGGGAGGCGGACGCACTAACAAGGAGGCTAGAGATTGCAGCCACTAGCGTCAGTCCCTTGTGCGTCTCTTGAGATCAGGGGAGATCAGGGGGTTTTACCTGCACAGCACCTACTCGCTGGCCTCCGTTACATGTGCACGCTTTATTAAACCGTTAACATAAGCGCGGAAAAAATACACACCACATACGCACTGCAAACGGAGTAATGTGAACCTGGCTTATGGAATATGGTTTTGTGTGTGCGCTGCGATTAGCCCATGCTGCATCACGCTCTTGGATAAGATCATATAGGGCAGTTGGATGCGTTAAATGCAGAGCACAAATTCCGAGTATGGGACACCATACTTGGATACATATCACGTCACTTGTCTCATGACGTCAGGGTACCATTATACCTGTTACTAGTTAGGGGTGCTCCGATCAGGATTTTTGAGTCAGTATGACGATTTAATCGGTCTTTACTGCACGGCTCTGTACACTTTTAGCTCACTGCTCAATGCAACGATACCTTCAAAATGGCGCCTCGGTGACGTCACACATAATAAACGCACGTGACTGACAAAGACCGATTCCTGTGTCAACTGTGCAGCCTGCTGCTCGCTTATAGACAGACGCGATGTGGTGATTTGAAGCAATTTGCGTATTTTTAGAGAGAAAGAGAGACCGCGCGCGGTGATTCACTCACGCTGTTTGTGAAATTACGTCTCACACAAGGTTTTCAAATTACTTTTGAAAAGTTAAGTTATTTAATGAAGAAATATGGTATAAATAAGGTGAGTACCTCACCTTCAGCATTATAATTATTTCACCCGCGCCAGACTGAGGCGGTGCCGCTGCATGTCGTGCCAAACCTCTCACAGCAG